AGGAGATCGGGCTGAAACTATAGCTACAAGCTATCCAAGGATGGTACTATAGAATGTCACCTCAAGGTAGGCCTAGTGGCGTCATCTCTTGGTTAGGCCGGAAACTTATCAATCCACCCTCGTATTTCTATTACGTTCTGTATAGGACTGATGACCTTATAATAATGACGCCCTATATAGATACAAGCACACATAAAAAGCGTTCCTATGCGAACGAATGCATAACACCAGAAAAGAATAGAAAATTACTGGAACTTTTCTACCGTCTCAGCAATATAACTGGAATAAAATGGATAAGACTTCTCACGCAAGTATGCATGTCGTTTCAACACAAACTCACAAAGATATATTTGACAATCTGCGAAAAAGGAAAAGAAGCAAGATTACACAACTGGAAACTTCCAAAATCGCCATCAACTAAAGCACAAAAACGTAACATCCTCCGAGGAAAAGGTTTTGATCAAAAGATGTAACTTCTCAATAACACTAAACAAAATAGCGACAGAGAGATATCATAGCAAACTTTGAAACGGCCATTTGTGATTTACCAGAAAAGCCTAAGAAAAATGTAAACTTTTGACGGGTGTTACGCTTTGTTTAAAGGTTTTTGAAATTTCGGTTAGTTTAGGGCAATATTCAGAGAAACAGAAGATATTTTCAAATATGAATATTAAAAATATATTCCACAAGTCAGTCAAATTATGCATTTTCGCTCGTGCGACATGTGCCGTTTCACATAAGCGAGTATAGAACCCGCTCGTTCGAACAGAGCGTCAAGGATTGTACAGGACCAGATAAATCTATTCACGCTGATTCTAAAACGCGAGTCATCAAGGCAGTCTCCGGGATGGCGACGCTTTTTAACGCCAGCCAGCGCGGCAAGTCATTTCTTTATTAACGTTCCATCAATCCGCAAAAGAAGGTGCTGCGTTGCTGTTTTATTTTAGTTTGTCTGTAGTTAATGCATATAATAGATGATGGTAACGCAATTAGATTTCCTTCGGTTGTTCATTGCTATACTGACAGTATACAAAAAAAAATTGGTGATATTGGCAAACCTACGAGGTTTTATTCCGCTGTTCGGTCAACCAAACGCATTGTTATGAAAACTCTTGGAGGCGGACGAGCATTTATACGCGCGCGTTCAAACGCGCGCTTCAGCACTATATAAAATGGCATCGTAAGAAAAACTGCCGATAAAGAAATATGTAATTTCTACGTTCTACGAACATTTCATGATACTGTTATATTAGTATACCAATACACATACAACGATTACCAAATTAAACTTAAACCATTAACACTTAATTGCAATGTTTAAAAAAAATTTAGATTGATTGATAAAAAAAAGTATTGTACTTAACGACAAAAACAATGCTTTCTTGAAATGCCAATTAAAATTTTATTGTCGTTATAAACGCACGTTTCTATAATGCTATTCATTAACATAAATGTGGTATACCATATTTTTACCTGACAATACGTAGATAAAGCAAATTATTGTTATTTCTTTACTCTATATCCTTTCTGAGTAATAAATGCACCGAAGAAAATATCAAGTAATACTTTTAGGCCTATTTATGTTTAAGGTAGTTTCGTGGTTACAGTACATTGAATATATTAAAAATATTTCAAATAAACACATAAATATGGAGGTACCTAGGTATTTAAATAATTTGAACGCTACGTAGGTAATTTTGCATTAATCCTTATTCTATGAAATAAATTGGCAGTGGCAAAATGCAGTAAGTAGGTAACTAAAAAAGGGACTACTAATAAAATAACACTTATTAAAACAACTGTAATAGTTACGTACCAATCCACTTCAGTTTTAAGTGTTAGTTAATTATCGAGTGATTACCCTCAGTTGCATGCGTACGTAACTATTTTATCTATTCCACTTACTCATATTTGTCTACAAATCATTAACATACACTGTAATATTGTTTCAATATTTCTAGTAGGTACGTATAAATATAGTAGGTACCTGGTATTATACGATACATGAGAGATACTATTTTTACTAATTCCTACAACAATAGTTGCGATACGTAAGCATATTTTCAAAACAGAAAATGTTTTTGACTGAAAATTTCATTGTTTTATTATACCTATACTTAATCCGAAAATTGGACGAAAATAATTATTTTTTTTAACATGTAGTTATTCTATTTTTACAATTAGGTACCTATCTACCTATCTAAGCCGTTTTCGTATCAGTCCATATTACAAACAATTAAACAAAAAATAGTGCAGATACCTACTGTTGTTTAATCGCTAAAGGAAGAATATATAAAAAAAAACTACTTATTATTGGCAGATAGGTACGTACATAGGTAGCTATGTACATACCACCTACCTATCAGTTTGTTTTTTTTTTTATACCTACTTAATCACTTTAGCTAATTTATCTAATTATAAGTTTATCAGTTTTTTATCGCCGCATAAGTATAAAAATTAGTATTTACATTGTACATACTCATAAGTCTGTAGTCTGTACAGTATCCAAAACAGGAAATACGAATGTTCTTTTAAATAGATACTCCTTTTTTTAGTCTACCTACCCTTGTATTGCAACAGTTAAAACAAAAGAGTAAGTAAGCTTTATTGACTTAATACCTCTACAAGTAGTAGGTACCTAGGTATATTAACAATTAAGCGTATTAGACGACTTCGCTAATAGGTACCTATATAAATGTAAACAGTGGAAACAAATCTCTGCTTATTATGGGATAAAACGTTATAACATGACTATACCTACATAGGTACATCAATATGTAATTTAAAAAGAAAATTTAAGGAGCTTACTTACCTTCATGTTGTTTTGTACTAAATAATCGAAGGAACATAGTGTATAGACGATATAAGCTCTAATTAGTTCTAAATTTGTCTTGCTTTTAAAAGCAGCTTCAGCGTTTTCAAATGTAATATCAAGAGGATCTTTAGGGGGTTGTCCCGAACCGGCAGTTGTAGCTGCTTCCGAGTTATCTGATACTATAGTAGTGGCAGCTGTTGACTTGAGGGCAACCTGCCGGAACTCTAGCTTTTGACAGGACGCTGCGAATAATCGACGATTTTTGACGGCACTACATCTTAAAAGGGCTCGCAAAAAAGCCATTTACTCGGTTTTATTGATTTGCCACCGATCTCGTGCCAGAATAATACCAATACTATTTTCAGTATGGTACTGACGTAACTATTTTTCTTATGCAATTTTGAATTAGCACTGATAAAATTTTTATTAATATAACAATCGATCTAGAGAAGATTGGAATAACCGAGCTACCGGCTTAACTGGCACGGCTTTTACTTCAATTGAACGAATTTCAAAATAGAGCACGAACCTAACTCATCGACCACGGCTCCGCACTAGCTGATTCACAAATACGTCTGGCAATCTGACAAGTTCGCGAATGGACATGCGCATAAAAATTCCAATGTATCGCCCTTGTTTTATTGCACCATTGTTTGGCAATTATTATTATTAACTAGTGTGCAGTAACTACATAACTTATATAGCTCCTATATTCTTATAGCATCCTTATAGCTTATGACGGCAGTACTTTTTGGTAAGATGTGGGTAACTACATGAAAACGTCATGATTACTTTTGTACAATATTATTAAGGTTTATTTTATGTTAATTTCGAACCTGAAAAATTTCTAATTAAACATTTAAATTTTTAACTGACGGTATAGATAAATCGTATTTGCAATTTAAACAATAACAGTATAAAGTACATTTTTTAAAAATGTTTAATTATTCTGTTTGTAGAGATTCAAATAGGCTACTTATTGTAGTGTAGTTCTTACAAAAACTGAATTACTAATTACATTATAGGAAAAAAAGTCTTTTGTTAGACATTAAAACATTTTTTACAATAAATATAAATAAACAACTATATGTAATATATCCACCCAGTAATACATACATCCATTACAATTGTAATGAGTCTTCAATGAGTTGAGATAATCTTCACAATGCCAAAATTAGGCTCGCAAAAGATACCCTAACCAATTAATTTTCTTTTAATGAAATGTATTAATATTTAACAAACTTGGTTACTTGTTCTGGCAGGTGTTTTTAATATGTCTATTTAAATGTTGTTTCTGTGAATAACTATTTCCACAATATTTACATTTAAAAGGTTTTTCATGTGTGTGACATCTAAAATGACGTACTAATAGGGAGTAAGAATCAAAACCTTTCTTGCAAATGTTACACTTATTAGATTTACTTTTATAATGTATAAGTGTATGTGCTTCTAATTCAAATGCAGTTTTGAATGCACTTTTGCAAAAATTGCATTTGTTTTCAGGATTTCGTAAATGGGTTTTCATGTGATCCTTAAGGTGACTATTTTGATTAAATGTCTTTCTACAAAGCTTGCAGGAGTATGGTCTCTCTCCTGTGTGAATTCTTAAGTGCCTCACTAGATTTGACTTTTCTGCAAAACGTATTTCACAAATGTTGCACTGAAAGGGCTTGATTCCTTTGTGATATCGCATATGGACTTCTAGCTTTGGTTTTTGTGAAAATCGTTTAAGACATAAAGCACACTGTACAAAATTAGCCATGATTTTCCTTTGTTGTATTTTACCAGTGGATACTATATTTTCATCGTCATTTTTCTGTATTTCTTCCTTTTTAAACTTTACATCATTTGGGATGTTTGAGTAATGTTTTCCAGGTTCTTCAACTTTGATTTTATCAATTTTGATATCAGTATTTAAAGTAGATTCATTCAATAGTGGATTCAAATATTCTTCATCATATTCTTCATTATAATCAAGAACTTCTAACTTTATGGCCATTCTTTTTAAATGAGTTTTGATTTTGAATTATGATATTACGAAAGAAAAAAGATTTAGGTTATATATTTAAAATTCTCTTCTTCTTCTTCTATTTATCTAACGCTTGAGTTCTCTAAATATACATTTAGCCAAATCGGTCACTATGGTCCTTGTATTTAAAGGTAATAGAGGTTGTAAAACAAGGTATTAAAAAAAATAAAACAATACAGAATATAGAAAGTAATACCTGAACCTTTGATGACTAGAAAATTAAAATTTTCAAATTCAAAGTTTTCAAACATTTGTATTGATTTCCTGATAATTAATCACATTGTAATGGAGGTTTTCTGATAGCGAATCTCAATTGACAATGAGCTGTTCAAATCCAAAGTAACACTTCTCATTTTTCGCGATATGGATTTGTAATACATTTGTCAGAAAAATACCCTTTGTATCTAAGCCATCTGTAGCTCGATGCTACATTGTAGGATTACGTATGCTCCAACAAGGTCCACTTGTGTGGATATCTACTTGCTGAAAACGAATCCCGGCGTAGCCAACCTCAACGTGATAGGCACGTCCTAAAATGTANTCTTGATAGCAGTAGCAATGTTTAAAATTGCAATCAGGTTGCCTAGTAGAAACAATATAATTCTGTTTATAAACAAATTAAAAGTTTTCTTGGACGTTTGAAGTTTGTGACTAACGTTTGTGTTCCCGCAGGGATTTTAACCAGCGAGAAGCCAATTCCAAAATTTTCGAAGGATATAGGGAAAATTGCGCGCGCACTTACGTCATGGCTAAGTTCACCGGCTTCTACTTGTAGTCGAAGAAGAACGATTTTCTAGTGTGGCGCGATAGTCGGCCATATTAGGTGTACGTGAGTGTAAGAAATATAACAGCCGAGAATTTGTGAAGTGAAGTGAATTTATAATCGCCTTAAATATGTCCGAGAGGGAAGATAACGTTTACAAAGCTAAGTTAGCTGAACAGGCTGAACGGTATGATGGTATGTTCACATCTTGTAAATGTCAGTAGATATAACTTTATAGGCAAGTTACAGACGCCTCCATTTATATTTTTGACAACTTGTTTGGCAAAAATTTCCTTTTACAATTAGATATATTGGATAATATTGCCAATGAGTATTTTTTTGTCGTATAAACCAATGTAGGTACATACGTATGTTTTGACAGAATCGATTGTTCCGCGCGTTTGCTGTAATACAAGAAAAATTTTGTTGCACTTTGGTATTAGTAAGTACATTGCATGTACTACATGTCGACAGACGGTCCATTTACTGGTACTCGTTTTATAAAGGTTTAAATAAAGATGCACAGGTGTTTTACAATTTGGTTCGGTTTACCGGCAAAGCTGAATTACCTACATATGTGGGTAGATGAGTAATGAATGCAATCCTGTGACGTAAACCTTTTGATTTATTGAAATAGTCAATTAGCATAGGATTTTTTCGAAATTTGCATTGGTAGACTTTTTCTTCGCTTGAAATTCTATTTAAAAAAAATTACAATTGTGGCTTACGTACTAATAATCTACGTCTCATTCCATTACGTTGTTATTACATACATACATAATAGATACCTACCAGAGCCGTGTCATTTACCTGTTTGACAAGACTTTCGACCTGCCCACACAGTAAAATGTTAAAACTTTTGCAGCCAATAATCCATAAACAATTTCTGATATTTATTCATTCATCAGTAATATGCTGTGTGTAACTTTTTTAAATCTACCCGTTAGACAATTTAATTGCTATGGAATTTTAGTATTTTGTAATGTTAAGTTTAATTCTTCAGTAGAGCAAGTTAATCTCTATCCTTTTTTGTAATTTTTGAGCAAAGCAACAGCCTTGGAAACATTGAATATGACGGTTAGGTATATTTAATTTTAGATGTCGCTAAAATTTCTACTAGAAATCGATTTTACTTGCGAGTGGAACGTACTTAAAAAACATTTATGGATGCGTACCTAACTATGTACAGGGATGATTACTGAAAATGGACAGGAAAAAGCTTTAAATTGTTAGGTTGTGACTCGTATGTTGTACTTTAAATTAAATTCTACACATATGCATGGTGGGTTGCTTGTTGCTTCTTGCTTTCCATTCAATTTCCACATTTTGGTCCTCATAGGTATAGATAATAGTAGATATAATATGATTATTTACCTATCTATAATAATATATATGATGCATATAGTAATATAAATGAGTCTTCTTGTACCTATGTAGGTATTTTGAGAAAGCCTACTGATTTAACAAAAATTATTCTACCTATGTACTGAATACATATATTGTACATTAAAAATTTATTTTTTCTCATTCAGGTATAATTGTTTTGCCGGTTTGTTGATTAAGAATTTAGTTGTAAAAAATAAATGTAGAATGATTGAATCGCCCAGGGAACATCCTAGGAGGTACATGTCATAGTAGGGAATACAAAATTCTGTTTAATTCTTAGTCAATATAGAGAACGTTTTGTTACGTTTGTGATTCCTTTTTTTCATATGAAATGCCTAAAAATTAATAAATTGCCTGGTAGGCTAGTTCCTACAGGCAATTAAATATATACATATATCAGCATCGAAGCCTAACAAATAGGGACGAGATATAATTTATGTAGAAGTAAGAAGCTCACGTATCGACCATTTCAGACATGAAAAATTTATTTTTGATAAAATAGTAAAAAACTGTGCTGATTTAGAATTTGGTTATTCGCAATCTGGAAAAAATACTGTCATTTTTTAATTTAACAATTTATAAAAAAAAAACTTAACATTTTGCGAAATAGGTATCTTCCCCAGCGTATTTTTCGCCATGTACATCTTTATTGTTTTTTTTGTTCCCTATATAATTGTCTAAAGAAATGGCGCTGGCTTGAAGTCGGTAAGTGTTTTTATTAACAAATTGTGTTCAAAATTAGAAAAATGCTATTTTTTTTTGGACATTAAATCTCTTGGGAACGGAAATGTCTAGAAGCTTCAACCTTTCATAAATCATATTAGTATTAAAAGGCGTTCCCAATTTAAGTAGGATCGTTTTTTAACTTTTTGAGTAATAAACGATTGATTTTTTTAACCTTAATTACGAAATATGTTTTTTTGTATAAAAATTAAGCCACTGAAACCAAGTCAGGAAATTCAAAAATCCATTCAAATTTCATATCCCGTTGGAACTTTTGAAAAATATTGATTTCTACCAATTTTGTAACTATTCTTTAGGAGTCACCTTTAAGACTAATAAAGCACTATATTAATTTTCAGATTTAGTGATTCCCTCTATTATAACTTTGTGTTTTTCCCAAAAAAAAATGTATACTAAAAAAGTTATAGTGTTTAATACGTTGCGGAAGAAAAAGTGACTCCTAGGAATATAATGCTACTTCTAGTCTTCTATTTCTTTTGGATATACATATAAGATATATGTACAAATCTACGAGGGTGGATTGATAAGTTTCCGGCCTAACCAAGAGATGACGCCACTAGGCTTACCTTGAGGTGACATTCTATAGTACCATCCTTGGATAGCTTGTAGCTATAGTTTCAGCCCGATCTCCTTGCTAGTGTAGGTTTGACAGCACGCTGANCAAAAACTGCAAGAATTTTGGCATCACGGCTAATTAACGAGTAGATAACGGAAAACGGTTATGCAATTCTGAGTACATTGTGCAAAAGTCAACTTCATGGATGTCATAAGTTATCATGAGTGACTTTTTAGTCCATTATTATAGTAAATTTTAAATTCAAATATTTATGCTGTTAAGTGGAACTTATCAAGTATTATGCAAATTTACAAATTGAATTACCAGATAATCAACAGGTTAGTAAGTAGGATTAGTTTTGATTACTAAACCTAATTAAATAATTGAACAATGAAGTATGGTTTTCTTAATAAATTGTATTTGTAATGATGGAAAATTTTTTTTTTTTCTAAATTGTGGATAATATACATATGCGAATAATGGAGACAGTCATAAAAACTTCGAAGTAATACGGTGAACGAGTAGTGCGAGTGAAAAATGTAAAGGCGTGGAGGTATGTCATAGAAAGGTGATCTCATTTGCTTTCTCTAATATATTTATCGCTTCCTGTCTAAGACATCTCATAGCTGCAACTACGAAGGCATCAGATGAAGAAGGCCATTATTAATACGACTAAATTGTATTTTTTTATCAGAACTCGAAAATTTAATGAAAATCGCAACTTTGTGTCGAGATACCTACGTATATGTAACATCTAGGATTACCATTACCACCCGTTATTTTTTAAGAATTTTGTTTTCGTGCTCTCTTTTTGAAAAGAAGTACTCGCAAACTCAAAAAACTACGAAGTATGAGGTGTGATCAAATCAAATTCAATCATAACATTTTCTCTGTGGATATATGCAGCCGCCGATAATTTTTTTGTAATATTATGAAATAAAAGGAAATTGGTAGAGTAAGGTTGTCTCCCTTCTGACGATAAGCACATCCATCTAAAACGAAATTCGTAAAAATAAATAAATAAAAAAAAAAGTAAAATGTGGAGTGCGATTAGAACACTATTTTTATAATAAAATATGATAGATGGCTAAAATATATTCTTCTTATTCATTAAACCTTTCTTTGTCAGTCCCCACAACTCCAAATTGATCGGGGGTGGGGAATGTTTTTTTTTTAGATAATTACGAAAATATTGACCCAATATCTATGCTTCTGCTTTGAAAGTAATTTTTGCATATTTTAACAGTAAGTGTATGAAAAGTTTGGTAAATTTAATTCGGACCTAAGAAGTTAATACGGTAGCATTGACAAAAATGCTTTAAACTGTTTAGTTTATGCAACTACTACCAATTAATGCAACAGCATATTTTATCTCCCCCTTGTTTCAAGTAAAGGAAGGGAACATTAATTATTTTATTTGGGCATTTAATAAGTACTTAATTTTGCAATTAATTTTCACTCGATTAGATTTATTTTTTAGTTCCAATCAGAAATTTCACGCATTTTAGGTTTTGTTGATTCCGAATGTGAACTCGTCACTATCGACTACTCAAAAATGTGAATGTTCTAGTCTCGGAATTCGCAGAAAATTTGAGATTTTGGATTTGGCACATTTTTTATTACTAATAGAGTAGCACCTCCCCAAAATTTTAACAACAAATTGATTTTAATTCTACATAGCCCATTTGTAGCTCATTCACATCTCAGGCGAATGATAAGGATACCGTGGATAGAGAAGATTAGTAGAAATAAAGAGGCATTAGAAAGAATATCAGAACAGAGGACTTTATGGAAGTCAATAAAAAATAGGCGAGATAGGTTAGTAGGACACCTTCTCAGTTATGAAGGTATAGTCAGACACAGATGCAAAAAAGGGCTTAGGAAGGGTAGAAGGTAGACCTAGATTAGATTACTGTTTGCAAATAGTTAAGGATATGGGTTGTTTTAGTTTTAGAGAAATGCGGAGATTAGCTTAGCATAGGAAAGAGGTGGAGGTGGGTGTCCAACCATGCATGGATTTCATTCTAAAGGCAAAAGACACTTCATTGTCCTATAAATTGTTAAATAAACAATTCATCCGCTTAACAGCTTTTGACACACTCGACGTTTTAGCCTCTACACCTTTCTCCCTATCATTTTTAATTTTAAAATTNGCTTAGCATGATGAGGTAAGATAGGGAAAGGAAATGTGACGCTCACAGTTCACCAATTTTATTTTAATATTTGTCTTAGCTTGGCAGTTCTTAAAATTTTTCATTACAATAGAAAGTTAATCTCACTTCTATTTTTAATCACAAGAAATCGTTTATAAGGGGGGGAGTGGGCTAGTTTTTGTGACGTAATATTTGCTAGGGAAGTCGCTGAAGTGACACTTAGCGCGACGAAGGAGTCCAGAAAGATGAAATTCTAAGTGGCGCACTTTTTGGACGGCCCTTAAAAGTTGAAAATAATATTGCATAAGTAAAAATTGAATATTGGGGACAATAAAAAAAACTAGTTGAAGAGATTACCGCAACCACGTCATATCTTTTTGATCATTCTCATTGTAAATCTACATCTTGTGCGATTCTATTTGAATTTGTTAACTTTTTAGTTTAAGTTTAAAGATTGAAGTAGGTTTTTATACATCAGTATATTTAAGTGATCCTGACTTAACTTTATAATCTTAAGCAATCTAAAGTATTTTTCGGTAAGTTAGGTAGATGATTGGATTAGGTTATTATTGTTGCCGTGTATTTCTTATGTTCACAGCAATTACAAAAAAATATTTTCTTTAGCCGAAACAGGAGTTAGAGGAGTAGTAGATTAGATTACTGTTCATAAATAGTTAAGGATGAGAGATGTTCTAGAAAAATGCGATAATTAACTCAGGATAGGAAACAATGGAAGTGCGTGTCCAACCAGTCTTAGGACTGACCACCAAATAGTGATGATGATGAAGATGGTGATATCTATATACATTTTTTTTTTCATGGTTGATTAACAGTAAGATGCAAACCTTTTTTGTTTTTACAATTTTTACTTACTTCATGTGAACTTAGTAGACAGTTTTTTATATACAAAAACTGCAAGAATTTTGGCATCACGGCTAATTAACGAGTAGATAACGGAAAACGGTTATGCAATTCTGAGTACATTGTGCAAAAGTCAACTTCATGGATGTCATAAGTTATCATGAGTGACTTTTTAGTCCATTATTATAGTAAATTTTAAATTCAAATATTTATGCTGTTAAGTGGAACTTATCAAGTATTATGCAAATTTACAAATTGAATTACCAGATAATCAACAGGTTAGTAAGTAGGATTAGTTTTGATTACTAAACCTAATTAAATAATTGAACAATGAAGTATGGTTTTCTTAATAAATTGTATTTGTAATGATGGAAAATTTTTTTTTTTTCTAAATTGTGGATAATATACATATGCGAATAATGGAGACAGTCATAAAAACTTCGAAGTAATACGGTGAACGAGTAGTGCGAGTGAAAAATGTAAAGGCGTGGAGGTATGTCATAGAAAGGTGATCTCATTTGCTTTCTCTAATATATTTATCGCTTCCTGTCTAAGACATCTCATAGCTGCAACTACGAAGGCATCAGATGAAGAAGGCCATTATTAATACGACTAAATTGTATTTTTTTATCAGAACTCGAAAATTTAATGAAAATCGCAACTTTGTGTCGAGATACCTACGTATATGTAACATCTAGGATTACCATTACCACCCGTTATTTTTTAAGAATTTTGTTTTCGTGCTCTCTTTTTGAAAAGAAGTACTCGCAAACTCAAAAAACTACGAAGTATGAGGTGTGATCAAATCAAATTCAATCATAACATTTTCTCTGTGGATATATGCAGCCGCCGATAATTTTTTTGTAATATTATGAAATAAAAGGAAATAGGTAGAGTAAGGTTGTCTCCCTTCTGACGATAAGCACATCCATCTAAAACGAAATTCGTAAAAATAAATAAATAAAAAAAAAAGTAAAATGTGGAGTGCGATTAGAACACTATTTTTATAATAAAATATGATAGATGGCTAAAATATATTCTTCTTATTCATTAAACCTTTCTTTGTCAGTCCCCACAACTCCAAATTGATCGGGGGTGGGGAATGTTTTTTTTTTAGATAATTACGAAAATATTGACCCAATATCTATGCTTCTGCTTTGAAAGTAATTTTTGCATATTTTAACAGTAAGTGTATGAAAAGTTTGGTAAATTTAATTCGGACCTAAGAAGTTAATACGGTAGCATTGACAAAAATGCTTTAAACTGTTTAGTTTATGCAACTACTACCAATTAATGCAACAGCATATTTTATCTCCCCCTTGTTTCAAGTAAAGGAAGGGAACATTAATTATTTTATTTGGGCATTTAATAAGTACTTAATTTTGCAATTAATTTTCACTCGATTAGATTTATTTTTGATTGTTTAGCAGTACTCTGCTCTGTTTAGTTCCTCTGAAGCTAGCAGAACATGGAATATTATTTAAACAATTTTAAAAAAATTTCCTGATTTTCTCAGTGAACAATTATACTAAAAACAGCAGTTTGTGGGTATTTAAATTACCTACAAATTGGTCATTGAAAGCAAGGCGATTCATTCAATGCCTATATTCCATAATATATATAAGCAAAACTCAAAAAGGTCATATTTGAAATTATGAGCAAAAGGTGGTTCTCAAGAGTCGTCAAAAAATTTTAATAAACCATTAAACGTTATGCAAATAATGCGTAGTATAATTTAAAAGGAAAACAGAATTTAAGAGTATCAATTTGTATTACACATACTATAGGTTTTTCTGATGTATGCTTGAATTGTGTTATAATTTTGATTGTATTTTTCTTTTTGTTTAGAAATGGTTGAAGCAATGAAGAAAGTGGCTAAACTGGACACGGAATTAACGGTGGAGGAACGGAACTTACTGTCGGTAGCGTACAAGAATGTCATTGGTGCCCGTCGCGCTTCCTGGCGCATTATCTCATCCATCGAACAAAAAGAAGAGAGCAAAGGTACCGATGACAAGCTCGAAATGATAAGGCAATACCGCGGTCAAGTTGAGAAGGAATTACGGGATATCTGCGCCGATATACTCACTGTCTTGGATAAACACCTAATTCCAGCAGCAGGCACTGGGGAGAGCAAAGTTTTCTACTTTAAGATGAAGGGTGATTACCATAGGTATGAGTTTCATATTTTATTAGGATTCGTAATCTCCATTGTTTAAATTTTATTCGTGGTCCAAGTTTATTTATTTAATAAAAAGGCGTTCTTTATCACTACTACTATTTTTCAGAAAAATAGTTATAAAGAAATCTTGGTCGTTTATTCTTCATCTCATGGATTATTTGACGTGAATGTTTGTTGCATTAGTCATAAGCATTGACTCATACATACACATATAAGTAATTGTTAATTATGCATATACTAGCAACTAGCGCAACCATTTCTACGTTTAAACATGGGGTACAACGGTTTTTTGTTAACTTTGTTAGGTACCTGTTGTTTCTTCCTTGAGAACAATTTTTGTAGAAGTCGGGTTTTTTCGTTATCGTTATGTTTATCTTCGTTTATGTTTTCTGTATATTTCGTTAGAAATTTCCAGTAGACAAGACCGCTTGTTTCCCTTAATATTGTTATAATCATCGACGTTTACTCATGAACATGCATTAGCGGTCAGAATTGTGGTACAACAAAAGAAAGAGATGGAACGAAGTTTCGGACAATATCCATCTTTCTCACGATAGTGTGTAAGCGTTTCATGAAAGAGATAGCACTGGTCCGAAACCATACGCTATCTCCCTCACTTTTCGATCCAAGAAATTATTACAACGACATACGGCTAAGGCACTTAATATATGTCTATGGTGATAATAGTAGGAGAGCTGGTAGACATTTTTGGATAGGCCTTTGAGGCACGCTGAAAACTTGTTGAATACTTCTATAATACCTAAATACAGAACCGCAGACTTGCTTTTTTTGAAGAAAATAATTATTATTTCAGAAATTATTCTTGATGCATTTTGAAATTTGCGTAACTTAAAATTTAATGTTTAGAGTGAAAAAATAAATAACAATTTTATTATTAATCTTATAAAAAAGTTACTCTATATAAAAAGTCCTGCATGGTCTAAAACATATTGGCATGAGCAAACTTAACAATGCGTCAGTTATGTACAAGTTTTGACACAAAATATGAAATTTGTGTAACAATAACGTACCTTTATTTTTGAAAATAGCAGAAACCATTACAAAGAAAAGTTGTTGAAATTTAAAAAGTAGTTACAAATATGCAACCATATCTATGGATTGCTAAAATTATGAATTTGTGTACTTCTTCATACTTTTACCTCATACGAGTGAATACTTCTGTATGCACATTAACAACAATACAATTCTGAGAAAAGTTGCCGTATACATTCTTTCACTGAATGTCAAATGTAAGTTTTAAAACAAGAAAAAGCAATAAAGGTACTTTAAAATTACTTCAAACTCAAAGTCGCTGGCGTTATTGTCTTTTGTTTTAATTAATTAATATTTGATATTCAGTGAAAGACTGACAAGCATGTCATTTATACGGCAACTTTAATTAGGATAGGAATATAAGATACAATAAATTGGATACAGTTGTTCATTGGTGCATTCCTGCTTCTTCGGTGATTTTGCTTGTTTATTTATTATCATTATGCGTATAGACGTATTAAATCAATTTTTACGTCCGTTAGTTAGTGAAGAACCGCAACCACGTTTACAGTAAGATATAAAATCCTTTCTAACGATAGAAAACAAATTTGACTTCTGGATTGAATGTGTTGAACAAAACAGTTACGAATAGGTTTTTGCCTACCTCAAATGTGGTTAAAATCATGAAAAATGATTGAATGAATATATTTTCCAGAGGAGCCATCGAGTCAAAATCCATTCGCAAATCAGGCTACACCATCAATGTTAACTGGGTCGGAGTATGAGAAGTTGATCGATATTAAGAATTCTTCTCTACAATAAAAATTCGAATCAGCTAATTCAAATTTAAATGACCTTTGGCTCGAACTTAAAAATGAATACCTTGCAGTCCTTGAGAAGTTTATCACGGTTTCTGTTTCGGTTTGTATCGACTTATAGATTACGGCATTCAGTAGCGGGATCTATGAGCGTAGTGCTGTATTAGTTTCATATTTTCCAAACATTTTGTTTTTGGAAACGTATTTTTAATCTAATTAATAAAAAAATCGTGTTGTTAATTCTAGTTACCAACTAAATAACACTCCACTTGTCGTGTCAATGAAATAAATGACCTTGATGTCATTTTTAACTCCAATCTCACTTAAGTCTCATATCAGCAATTTTGTTCAAAAGCATTCAGATCCTTACATTTCATTTCGTATTATGAGAGGCTTAATTTATGAAATTCTTCTCACTGCTCCCGTTAGTTTATATGTCCCCCCCGCCAAGACGACTGCGCCCTAACGACTTTTCGATATTAATATCACTGCATTCAGCCAACTCCTTTGTAAGGGATATAGATTTTATTACCAGTACCTAGGGTCAACTTAAGAAGTTCTTATCTGAAAATATATGGCAATTTAGTTATTTTATGTGCTTATAACTGATTTATATTGTCTAAGCTATTGTTTAGTTTCATATATTTATAAAATTTAGAGTAACTTTAATTCATAGAACGCTACTGCCGCCTATTGTCATAATGTATAATGAGTTTTAAACCCGTATGTCAAAATATAATAATAATAATATAATAATAATAACCCAAAAGCACAATTAACCAACAATATTCGCCAAGTATAGCCATTTATGGTGGTTCTGAAATAGTTGCGTAGGAGGGAATTCCGTGACTGTATAAGCGAATCTGATTTCTACGTCCATGAAGGTAGCAAAGCAAAGTCAGCAGAACAAATCGTATCTAATGATTAAGTGCTAATATAATGTTAATTAAATGCCCTAATAATTTGTCAATTCATTTTCATTCAATTAGATTTATTTTTTAGTAGTACTCCGATCTACTGAGTAAAAACCGAAGTCTCTTATTAGTAGTCTACATCGTCAGCGGTTAATTAGCGGCTAATTAAGAGCCTGATTCTAACTAGTGAGGATTTTCCTAACCGATTTTACGGTTTTTTGTATGCTGACTTCATTTACAGATAGCCTGTAACCTGGTTGTCAGGTTTCCCGGGAGGGGGCTTATTTTTATTTATTCACGGTTAATTTTCTAAATATTTACAGCAAATTTCAACCCCTATTTGTAATGCCTACTACAATATCACTCAATGCATGCTGGTTTCCGTGTTTCCCGAGTCAGGGCTTTTTCTTTCTTTCACGGCTAATTTGTTAAATATTCACAGTAAAATTCAAATGATTTAGGATGCTTATAATCTTATTGGATATTATAACGGTTATCGGGTTGTCAAGATCGAAAAATTACACTATTTTGTAAAAACAGTCGCACTCCGAAATTAGTAGTTTACATTTTCAGCGGTTAATTGACGCCTAATTATGTGCCCGGTTGTATCTGTCGTGAGATTTTCCTAACCTTTTTTACATTTTTTTCCTGATTTTCGGGTTTCCTGCGTCGCGGCTAATTATTACCTTCCACGGCTAATTATCGGATGGTGTATATTTTTGCCTGCTAATTTTGTCATGCCCACTTGAAAGCTGTCCGATGTGAAGCTGTTGTTATGTTGTAATTCGATTCTAACAATACAATGGTACACAATCAAGCTTGTTTGTATCGTTAGCTTATCTACTTAATTAATAATGCTAATCAAAAACAAACTGGAAAACATACCATCAGGGCGCTGCAAATTTTAGGTAAAAACTCATTATCGTTTGTACACTGCATATATGATCAAAATAATGCGGCGATATTAAAGGCGATATTAAAACGTTTCTTGATTTCGTTCAAGTGATTTGACTAAAAAAAAAAACATTTGAATATCGCTGCGATTTTGTGCATGGCCACATACTTTGGCATTCGGAACAACTTCTTCCTAATTTTTCGATTAATCCTTCAGTTTAACCGCAATGAGCATTTGCGGATTTTTTGGACTGTTTGACTCGAAAAAAAAAACATTTGAATATCGCCGCTGCGTTTTGCATAGCCCCATATTTAGGTATTCCGATCAACTTTGTCCTATAACTTTTTTCGTTAATCTTTAAGAAATCAAATTTGTTTAATTTGAAACATTTTAAAAAGAATAGTAGAATCGTAAGGTAGTTAAAGTTAAAAGTTAATATTGTTTATACCGTATCATCAGTTATGAATTTTATTTGACACTTAATCAGTTATTAATAGGTTGCGACCCAATTGAACGGTTAGAACCAGCCGTTTTGTCTGTAATTGACATTTTCAATGGATATTACGTTAACGGCGTGGGTGAACGTCATTCTGGTCAATACCTGTCGTTGCAAAACGTCGCCCATGTTGTCAATGTAGTATCCACTGAAGATGTCAGCCGAAGAAACAACATAACCGATTATTTGAATCACACCCCTAACAACCTAAATATTTGATTTTCTACGAATTCTGTTAGTGAATGGTAATGCTCCTGTATTATGAATTTTACCTATTTATTTACTTCCTTTTATTTAAAAGGTGAGATAAGTTTTTAATCAACTACGTTTAACATGGTCATTTAAATGATAAACTAATAATATGTTATATATATAATATATACACAACTGTGTACGAATTACATAAAATACTAGACATTTATAGAAAAAATGACCAAATATTTTTATAACTATTTTTACCGTTAAGTCAAACTTTTATTTAAGTCGATATGCGTACAAATCATTACAATTGCATTTTAATTTAAACATGTACGTAATTAATCACATTTTATTCAGATATCTGGCAGAGTTTGCAACTGGTGCGGATCGCAAAGAAGCAGCGGAACACTCATTGGTTGCGTATAAAGCGGCAAGCGACATTGCGATGACTGAACTTCCACCTACTCATCCGATCAGACTTGGTTTGGCCCTTAATTTTTCTGTATTTTACTACGAGATCTTGAACAGCCCGGATCGTGCGTGCCGATTGGCAAAAGCAGCGTTTGACGATGCAATCGCGGAACTGGATACCCTGTCGGAGGAAAGTTATAAAGACAGTACGCTTATAATGCAACTGCTGCGTGACAATCTGACATTGTGGACGAGTGACATGCAAGGTGATGGTAAGTAATCAATTGGACTTTTAAAAGAATATTGATCATATTATTCTGAATGGCAATTGTTTGTGCCATATTGCCAAACTACAAAACAATACAAAGTCGTTTAAGACGGACCAGTTGTCTCCCACATGAATAGTTTTAAGTTAATTGGCAGCTTTCTGTCTCTTGCAAGCAGTACCTAATCGGCAGTAGGACATTTGATCAGATCTAGAGAAATCCCTTTATCTAGACAATTTAGAGTCAGCTTAGGGAAAACAGTTTTTTTTAATTTGCAATTTGCAAAAAAAGGTTTTCCTTTTCTGCGAAAACAGTTTTTCCAAAAATGATTTATAAACTCTTCTTGATGTTTTAAGATCTTTTGTTAACACCTTATTCACCAAAGCTACTTTTATAGTTTTTATTATCACATTTTCTTGTTTTTAATTTATATAAAATTATTTCAGTAGAACTCACGATGTGGAAATTATTAAATATATTTAAAATAAAATTAAACACAAAAATGCTTTTCAATGTTTCGACAAATGTTTATTATTTTTGTATATTTAATTTTATTAGTATAAAATGAGTAAACTATATTTAGTAAAAACTATAATCTTTATTATATGGTTTTATAACTATTAAAACACTGGCACGTTGTAATATCCAAATAAATAGTTAACTAAGATCCCACACTTCCTCCTTCTAGTTCCTATTAGTTGTCTAGAAATGGACGTATAACTTACATTGTGCATTTACGAAAAGTGCCATAAAAGTAAATAAAATAAACAAGATCTACTTAATGAACTAACAAATAACTCAAACTTATTGAGGAATAAATAAATGACGAATGACGTCAGTAGTAACCGTAGGGAAAATTAATAACGAATTAGCGAGTTGCAGATGTAATTTTACCCACTGTTAGAAAGAAATGTATATATTGTAAGTAATGTTTTTCCATTTTAGGCGAAGCAGAACAAAAGGAGCAGTTACAAGACGTGGAGGATCAGGACGTGTCGTAACTCATGTGCGAAGTCTCCGCGCGCCCCTCATCACCCGTAAAATGAAGCTTACATAATTATAAAATACCGTTTTAAATTGAAAAAAACAAAAAAATGATAGGACACTCACTGTCGATGATCGGACCGCGTGCGTGTGTGTGTACGTAACAATATAAATGATGATAATGATAATAATGATGATGATTATGTGCTCTGTCTTCGTCGTAATATGTTCGTCGTGGCGTGCGTGCGTGGGTTGCGCCCTTTTCTTACCCCTTCCACTAAGCTCTTGTCTTATCTCCTAATTAAAGAAAAATAAAGACACACCCGTTAATTCGCCTTTTCACACACAGAAAAAAATCATACATAGTATTACACATGTTATCATTATTATTGTTTTAATAATAAATGTTTTAATGTACAGTGTGAGACCGATCACCTATAGCATGCACACGCGGTGTGTCTCCTCCTTTTGATCTTCGTCATCATCATCACCCAGTATATAACATATACATACTGTATTATTACTATTATAATTATAATTGAACTATATTATTATTATTATTGCTATGACGATTATCATTAAGTGGCCGTGCATATATATTTTTGTTTCTTGTTTGTTTGTTTGCATGTGGTTGAATGAATGATAAATAATTGATAGTGCTAATGGTCGTGTGATGCGTATATGAAATCTAAGAAAATCGCTGATGAGACGCACACAAGAGCGAAACGAGTGCGCTTTTCCGTGGGCGTAAACAATGATTTTCTTTGTCATTAATATTTTAATAGTCATATATATATATTTTCTTTAAACTGACTTAATGTCAGTAACACAGTCGCATCGAAATTTAAAAGATTGTGAACGTGTAGCAGAATCTCTGTGTCATCGATTTTTCCATTTTTGCACGTTTCGTAGATTGTTTCTTCTATAAGACGATCTTTTCGACTTATTGATTGTTAATTATTGAAAAAAGAGACATTAAGTGCATAGAGAATTATACATAGAAGATACCGCAAATCTTAAAAATTTGAATTTTACGAAAGTGAAAATTATTGTTGAAAAAGAAAAATGAAAATACTGATATAATGAACCAAAAAGGTAATAATTTTTTTTTCATAAAAATACTAAAATCCAAATTTAATAAATTGAAGTTGAAAAAAAGGAAAATCTTTTTTGTCAAAATCATTAATGTCTATAAAGCTTTCCCGGATTGGATTNTTCACAATTTTTTACAATTTTGGCAATTTTGACCCCTTTTTGGGCGGCACTTCACTATCACGGATTCTTTATCTCCGAATTTTGATAGACTGTTGGGAGTGCACTGGTTCCACAGAATCTAGTTCACCCTTCACCACACGGACCGTATTTTTCCGAACTTTTAGTGGTTACTAAATTAGGCAGGAACTTTGATCCGTTACGACTGCGCCAGTTTTGGTTTCTTCTTGGAACTTTAGTTTTTTAAAAAAAGAACTCATAATCTTTTACACAAACTTTATTCCAAAAAAAAACACCTTTTGACAATTACTTACTAACAATACCCTATGGGCGGAAAAACGCGAAACTAGTATTACACCATACATCTTCGTTTAAAAAGTTGATTAAATATCATCAGAGTTCGTAATTTAAATTATTTCTAATTTATTTCCTATTACATACAACACAATAAGACGAAAGGAATGCATTATAAATACATAATTGGTAAGAAAATTGTAGATGGTAGTAAGTTTTCTTTATTTACGAAAAAGTCAGTGTACTTTAATATTTCGGTGTTATTTTGACAATTTTTTCCGCTACCATTCCTATTTGCATTTGCTGTACTTAAAAGTAGTTGGTAGAACGATGCTTAAGGCGATTTTCTGTAAAATATATCAGCAATAATTCAAAATCTGCCATCGATAATCTAATTCAAACTTATCCTATTAATTATTAAATATATAGTTTTATCAATGGCTGAATATATTTGAAAAAATATGTACTGATCTACTTATCGATTTCACAAAGTTGTTTAGTATTGAAGGTGGTTGATTTTTTTTGTCTAGTTCAAACGATGGCAGATTTGATATAAGTGCTAGAAGCAATGTAATATTCTAGAAAACCATCGCAGCAATTGTTTTTGTAATAGTTGTGTTGCCGACCCAATAGAGCAATTTTATTTATGTAAAATACATCACATGTATTGTTTTTGTATTTGCTATACACATAGGTAAGTCATTCAAATCTAAATTATTTAAAGAAAGGCGATTTATTAACGAGTGGTTGGCAAACTATTTTGTTTGTACTTGTACTTTAATTACACTTTTCTTTTTTGTTTTTGGCGTTATTAATGTGCGTATGAATGTAAAGTCGTGTAGGTTGGTATAATAAAAGTTGCTGTAATGTTATTATAAAAGGAAGGTGCTTCTCAATTGGTTTTATTATGTCCTTTACCCTCCACACTTTGTTCTAAAGTTTTCAAATTTGCTTTGGAAACGTATAATTTAATCAATAATTTTAACATCAAAGTTCAAAATTCCTTGACTGGTACAAAGAAGTACATACTAGATTACTAAGTAACAAATTTACAAATCAATATATTAGTGGAAGTTCGCAATATATTTTTTTTCTTTGAACTTTTCGAAGTTACGAAGCATCAACAAAGGCTCTATCGCTTTTGCGAAGATCATTTTACTAATCCTTGACGCCCTTTAACTTTAAACTGGTTATAGCTAAAACTGGAATAAATGAGAATAGGATTCGCGCCTTGAGGGTTCCGTAGCTACCGTTGAATTATTGTAATAATTTACTAAATTAGAATCATGAATGGACCAAACAAAAATAGAAGGAACTGATACTACATTGTTAGTTAGATGGTATGCCAAAAAACCGAATTTTTTTCCAAATTTCAGAAATGCAGATTTATATGTAGTACTGTTAGCTTTGAAAGAAGAGGAAAAATGTAGGTAGGTGTAACATGCAACTACAGTGTAGTGTAAAATAACTTTATTCACACTTTTGGTAGTTGTGACTATAATTATTAAAATGTATATTTTATTATTTTATAGTACACATTTTTAATTTTTGATCCGACGGGGCTTGACAAAGCTCTTGTATAAACCAGAGGGGGTGGATCAGCTGCGCATTTCGATGATTTAGGAAGTCGGACTATAAGTTAATACTGAGAAGCAAAACTAATCATAAGATAAGTTCCTGTAAGAGGCCAGCAGCTCTTTCAGTACTCAGGGTGGTAGAGATCACGAGAATCGGTATGGTACTCTGATGCACATACTGCGATGTGATAAGCACATATAGGTATTCATATATAGAGAGGACGGACATTTATAGTACAGGTGCCAAAGTCAAGACCACTGAATGTGAAGAGGAATAAGAAGACAAGTAGTGAAAAAACGAGTTTCGTATGCGTACTGACTTGTCATGGACTTGGCCATATCGACTCTGTAAACCAATCTATTATTTAATCTCTAGAAATAAGAAATACAAATATCGTTTTTAAAATTATTATGTAATATCGCCCTTTAAAATGCTTTGCTGACAGCTTTTAAAGATTTTAATTATCGTCTCGAAACTTGGCTCATTAGCATTTATCCCCACATTATAATCGTTTTGTTCAATTGTTAATAGTTGTGAGTGTTTCATAGTGCTTTTGAAAATATGTGTTTAATCCTGCGGGATATTTAAGTCAAGTAACGGAATTCGCAACAAGCCCACAAATAGGTGTCCCCGACATGATCCTGTGCTGGGACACACCAATATTTTTCATAACACGTGCATAATTTCGGAACCAACAATCATAGCAATCACAACCGACCTGGTGGTAGCCGTTCACTACGTGAAATTGGCGCAACCGCTCTGGAGGCACAATCCAGTTCGGTACTTCACCGTTCTGGAGAACACCTTTAAACTCTATCGCCTTACTCTGATATCACCAAGTATAGACTCGTGATTTCCAAATTGGAACTCAACTTCGTTGGCTTGGTGAGTGATATTGTCGACGATTCACCGGGATCTGGTACGACGTCCTGAAACCACGTCTCATAAATATACTATTTGAATTCTTGAGACTTCAGGAGACATTACCCCTCTTTAATGTTTTTATATTGTTGAATGTAACCAGATTTTATGACATTATGTAGTTACATTCAAACCATCCAAATAAATCATACACATTAGACTTGATGTTTGCCTGCACATCATTTGCTCACAACATATATCATCAAGAAATTCTTCTGCCTTGTGATATGCATCGTCAACCAGCTTTCTTCGAGTGCGGTGTGAATAGGAAACTGAACGGCTCAAGTGTCACCGAATTTAGAGATTTCCGTAAGGTCATTTATAATCTTGTAAATCAGAGCTTAAGAGTATATTGACTGGGATGCGGTTACTAATAAGGACGATCTAGATAATTGTTTAAGCAATTTGTACTCGTCGTGAATTCTCAAATTTCCAGTCATGTGCCCTTTGTCACTGGTCGATCCATATAGTTTCTACGATGGTTCAACTCTGAATTTATTGGCCTAATAATTGAAAAAAATACTGCTTATTGTACCTGGCGCCGAACGATTTGAGCGCTTTTACGATAAATTAAAAATAAAAATAATGGCTGATTGTATAACTCTATCACGTTTACTGCGTAAGCAGTAAAACCAACTGTTTCATGCCTGCTCGCTTTATTGTCACTGAAGCTTCTATAAAAAAGGCTTTCGGCTTGTTTAAGGAAACGGCCAGCCCTGCTCTTAATGGTGTATCTCGATATATATAGATGTTAGTCCGTCTTAAGCAAACTGATTGTTAAACTTTCTAATCGATTACATTCAGAAAGTTACTTTTCCGCAAAATAGAAGAAATTTTTTATTCACAAGAAAAGTAATAAGCAAGATGTTAAAAATTATAGACCAAAGTTTTGGTTTCTTCTTGGAACTTTAGTTTTTTAAAAAAAGAACTCATAATCTTTTACACAAACTTTATTCCAAAAAAAAACACCTTTTGACAATTACTTACTAACAATACCCTATGGGCGGAAGTTAGTCGGACATTACAAGTCTTAAAAGTAAAAGTACAGTACAGGTGAAGATGCACCTGTATTTATAATTTAAATTGGCTGATACTGCAATCTGTGCGAAACACGCCATACCTCGCGTGGCGTGACATCTTGCGATGCGTGGCGTGATTCTGTTATGGGAACACGTGTTATCTTGGATAACTCCAATATCTGTTCTGTGTACGTTGGACAAGCTGCTTGACCGACTTGTTGTTGACCACCTAACTGACCATTTCCTTAAACTAATAATCCCTCAACAACACCGATTTGTCGATAGCCGCTCAACAATTACTAACCTTGTGGGTTTTAAATACCTATTTCGTTACTTCAGCTTTGGATCAAGGTGCCCAGGTGGATACCATTTATATAGATATTGCACGTGTGTTTGACTCAGTCTGTCACGATCGTTTGCTTGCCAAATTATCTATATTTGATACTCAGGGAAATTTATTAAGTTGGTTGACCTCATACATTTTCTATTCGTTGGCAGGTAGTATGGGTGCGGAGGTCAGTGTC